GATGCGGCTTCCCAGCCTCCCCGCCGGGCTGGGGATGCTCGGCTTGCCGGTTTTCGGAAGGAAGGGGAATTTCCAAACAAGTTGCACAATCCCGTTGGCTCAGGCTGCGCGGGGGAGGGGGGGCCACAGATCTGGTCCGCGTTAGGCATTTTCGGGAAATCAGATGACTTTGGGGAAAAGGGAGGGGAAGAGAGTTTTCGGCTGCTTCCCCTCTCCTCCTCTTACCCCTCCCTTTTAAAAGTTAGGAACAAAATCCAAAGGGTGTACGAAAAAGACAGGCCACATGAGAACTGTTTCAGTACTTCTGCATGGAGAAAAAATATTTGATCATCTTGTCCAGAGACCGCTTTGCCGGAGCCCACTCTCTTACTGCAACCTAGTGGCCACAGGACTACTACCACTGCTCCTCATCTGATGCTTCAGAGACCCTTTTTTTTAGGGGAAAAAATGAAAAGATAGTGGCGTATTCAATGTTGTGCCTCTCTGAGGTAAGTAAGCAGTGAGAGTGCATTTTTTTGCTGGGTTTTGTTATGGGAATGCTCCTGTAAGTAAGAACCTGACTAAGAACTCATAACTACCTCTTTATTTACCAAGTGAACTTCATGTAAGAGCAACGGTTCATCAGACTTAGGTCTAAGTTAGATCTAAATTAGATCTAAGGCAATTCAAGACTTACGCCAGGTAGGACCCTTAATCCAGCCAGTGCCCACAAGACAAGACCAAAATATCACCGTACAAAAGACCTGCCACTAATACTGTAGAAAACCCATCCTCCTCACAAACCAGCTATACCAGGACTGGACTATAAATGAAAATTTAAAACTCCATTCCAACCTCTACCCTGTACAATCAGCACAGCACACTCCAGAGCTTGTTTTGGCCAGGAAAAAATCGATTCAAGTTTCAACAGGCCATAGACAAAGTGTGTTAGCAAAGCCCAGCTGAAAGACTTCTTTATATTGTCAAGGGAGAGAAACACCTACAGATGAATCATAACTGACTTCATCGCAGTCAGGATAAAGGCTTTACTTGAAGAACATGCCTAGTCTGTTTTCTTTGTCAAACTGAGAATGGATAGAGAAAGAAAACAGCATGTCATCTCACTTCTGATGTCTCTTGGGAGCACAGCGTGATGTTTCTAACTGGAATTTTGAGAACGAGGAAAACAGCGAGAAAAGATAAAAAACAAATCGTGGGGAGACAGTTTTCTCCTCTGAACTGGGCATAGTAAAGACCCTGCCAGTGATTCTTCAAGTCACAATCATATTTTAAAATGTGCACGGCAGAAGTAAAATGAGTGTGGGCTGATATATTAAGCATGTCATTTCATCGCAAGGGAATTGTATATCTTCATATAAACCTGGCTCAACTTGTTTGTAGCAGTGGTAAGTTAATATGTGTGTGAATATTAATAATTTTTTAGAAGACATATACCTATTAATTAAGAAAAAGATTGCTGAGTTAGTTAAATAAAAAGGTAGCTGCATTTCATATGGGCACATATCTGCATAATATTAACTATTTATGCAGAAGACCAGTGATATTCATGCATATATTTACACTGAATACATATACAGCATTTGATTGCATTTATCTAGATCTGTACTTTTTTTACAATTCATAAGATGAAACAGCTAGATAATATACTTTACAATTCACTGAAACTATGTCAGAAATTATATTAAAATAATAATTTAAAAGAGGCAAATCATGCCATTAAGGTTAATAAATGATAACATTAAGGTTGCCAATGCAATATAATTCTGCTAGAGGCACACACATTCTTTTAAATTCCTAAATTACATGACCACAGACTACTTTTCCCAAATTGCATAAGACAAATCTTTTCTTAAGATGACTCAGAACTCTGCAGCTGTAACCTTTCTGCCAGATGTTATGAAGAGCAGTAGTGTTCTGGTTGTCGTAAAATTACCATCTAAAACAGGCTTGACTGGCTTGTCTTCCCCCAGGAAGTTGGGAGGGAAAAAAAAAAAGCTTTTCCCAAGTTCTTAAGAAAAGCCACACTTTCCCATCTGGAAACACTGAGTCAGTGCATGAAACAAAGGGAGTAAATATTAAAAGAGAATACATAGCATTAATTAGGTGAAATCCATCGTCAGGGAATCAACGATATGTGAGTAGCAAGTAAAATATCCTTGATCCACCAAGACATTGGCAGTAATTTGCCCATTCCCCATTCTGCCATGAAGAGGATTCAGTGAGTTTCCTGCACGCCACACTTCCCCGCCTCACTTTTGTGACTCAGGCTGGTTTTGTTGCTGGTGGTTAAATTCAGAGCCATGGGTAAGCCCCAGGAAAACCTGCCTGTGTGCTGGCTTAGAGCTGCTCGGTATAACCCACTGATTTCTACCTCTGCATACTGTACCTGGGTCATTTTCACCAGAATCAGTTCACCTCTTTCACTCCCTCCAGGCCCGAGTCTGAGTGCAAAGCTCCCACAGCCTCCCAGTAAAACCTGGGACTTGGGAGCACTCTGGCCCGTGTACCACACCGAGATGCCTGCTGCCTTCGGCACTCACTTCCCCCATGGGATATCCCACCGTGGGATAACCAGAGTGTGTTCTGCCATGACTGTCCTAGGGATTTCATAGAATCATGGAATGGTTTAGGTTGGAAGGCACCTTGAAGATCATGTAGTTCCAACCCCCCTGCCATGGGCAGGGACACCTCCCACTAGACCAGGTTGCTCAAAGCCCCATCCATCCTGGCCTTGAACACCTCCAGGGTTGGGGCATCCACAGCTTCTCTGGGCAACCTGTGCCAGTGCCTCACCACCCACAGACTGAAAAATTTCTTCGTTGTGAAAAACTTCTTCCTAAATTTCCATCTTCCAATTTCTTCCAAAAATTTCCATCCTTACCACGCGCATGGCTTCTCCGGCAGCAAGCCTGCGGCTCACGAGGAACTGTTCTTAGCGTTTTACCCATTTAAGGTAAAACGTTCCTAAATACCTTGGCTTACTTTAAACCACAAGGCTGTAAA